TGTGAACAATCATGACTAAATTGATCTTGCACCCTTTTTCTGTTTTTGAGCCTCTTTTATCGCTTCCGACTTCGTAGATTTTCTTTTCATTTTGGATTTTTTGAGCACGAATATTTAACCAAGTTCAACCCAAAATATTTTAGTTTCTACTAACTTTGAAAAATTTTGAATTCAAATTAATTTCGTTTCAGTCCAGATCTGTCTTCAAATTTACCGTCGATCACAATCGAATTTTCCTCCTTACACTATGAGTTACTGAATCGTGCTTATGACCATGAAAAACAAAATTAATAAAATCCCTGAGCTCCATTGGTGGTGACAGACATATTGAACTGCTATCCTGCATGTTGTCGAGCTATTTTGAGCTTAACACTGTGATTGTGAGTGTTGATAGGTCAGTGAAGATGAGGATTTGAGTATGGATTACGACAAGATTCACACCCACGAACAACTACACTCATACCGTTGGTATGACTGGATCAAGATGAACATGTTGATGGGACTTATGAGTGTAGGTCTTTGCATCGATGTGGATTGTCTGTTCAGCTGTAATCACACTCATATCCACATTCCACCGACAATTATCATAAGTTTTTCATTAGCAGCTATGCCTTTGCCTTTTCCTATTGTCTTTATGTCTCCATCATCTTATAAGTTTACACATAAATGCATGATTCATATTACAAACAACTACTCATTCACTATTTTGTGGTGATCAATCATCAATCTTGGCTTAACACAAATATAGAAAACAACTTAATCTCTCATAAACATCTGTTCAGTATTTTATCTGTACTATGTATGTTGACCTATTTTGTCCAGGAATTGAATAATTTTTGTTTATGACAAGACTGTTTATTAATTGAACTTTTTCAAAGATAATTTCCATGTAAACTATATTTTGAAGTCACTTGCAGAAAACTCGTTGCTTTGGTTCAATTACCTGCCAACCTCAATGAAGATTCTTTCCAACTAAAATCTATCATGAAAAATACAGAGAGCAAATCAGAAGCTCATTACGTCAATAGAAGTTGGGATGCAAGTAAAACGTGTCAATTTCCGCTCTTCAGTGTTTATTGAACGAATGAAATGAAAACAAATCAGTTCAAACAACATAATAACGTGTCTTTTCTTGTAATAGACGAGAGACGTAAATTATATGATGAGGTTAGAATCAGTGCAACGTTTGGAAGAACAAGAGGAAAGTAAAAACTCAACATTGAAAGGTGAATTGCATCGATACATAGGCATATCTTGATTGGACGAATTTCAACTGATGACTTGTAGGTGTGAGTCATCTCTTTATCTATAGTCATACTCACATCTCCCCTCTCACTCTTGTGACTATTGACTCAACTTTTTCAATTTCTTTGGCGATTGTGTTTTGATAGTGCTTCCCAAATCGTAAAAAACACACTCAAGAATGAGTGCAGCTTCAGTATAGTTAGACGACGACTGCTGAATCAACAAGATTGAAAACTTCATTCACAGCTTGTTGTGTGCCATATATTTTCTTTTCGATCAGATAAGCTGCTCGATGCTTTTATGCAGTCAAAGCCCTTTGATATGCCTATTTCAAAAACAGTCATGAATCAAGTTGGTCTTTTTTTTTGAACGAATCTTGATAGTAAAATTCAAGGTTATTTTTGACTCTAATTTGATTATGATACATCATAGTTTTAAAGCCGAGACATTTTCACTAGAGTGATTTCTTGAATGTTAAAGTCAATAAGAATAAGATTAACTGCAGACATACTGTTAGATTCATTGTTTTCACCGGCTCAAACACTTCTGCATCGTGGCCCCACTCAATTGATACCATGATTAGTCATTTATTTATCAAACGTATTTAATGATGAATCATAATGAAAATAAGTAATTGATGACGTCAACTATCGCATGAGATGCCATAAAATCAAGTTGACCCACTACAATAGATTACAATGAATGCAGAATTGATTATCAATCAGTTAGAAAGTTTTTTCTAACAAATTATCGAAAGTAGAGAATCATTAATTAGATATTAGTATGAAGTTACTGAGTGAATGGTCATAAGATTCCACAAAATTAATCATGCTAAAGTTTTCATAAAACTTCTAAAAGGATCAGACTTCTCTTTGGATGTGGGTCACAAACAAAGATGACAATATACGGAACTTCGATCAGTTACCATGGTGATAACATACAGAAAGAACGACTGGTAAGCAATCCACGATTAAAGGCTTTGAATGAGAAGATAAAATGAACGAAAGTATGAGACGACAGAAGAAGGCTGACTTGACTGTTGATCATGAAAAGTATTTGCTCAAAGAGCGAATATGGAATTACAATTAAGATAAGAGACATATACATATGATATCAAGAGAATTTTGTTCCTCGAGCAAACGATAATTTTACGCTTAAGTTTAAAGCGTTTTTTTATCGATGGTGATTTATTGCAGAAAATGCATGAAATCATTTATAAAATTCCTCAGAATATAATTTACTTGTAGTGCGGTCGATTCTTGAAAACCTGAAATCAGAGATAAAAACTTTTGAAGGCTTTCTTGTGTAAAATGTTGTGCTTTTTTATGAGCAACAATACTCGCACGTATTTTTCAAGCTGAAAAAATGCAATACTATTTGATTGTTTGTCATTCCCAATGATTTTCTTTTCTTCAACGACAATACATAATAAAGTGAGCCGCACAAGCACCTTCATCAGACAAAAGTTTCGAATCTAGTCGAATAACATAGTGTGGTTCATATTCTTTTTTGATACTATTCGGTGAAAGACATTTCTTTCTGAGATTTCGAGAGAGTGAGTCGATGGAGAATTTAGAAACTTTGGGATAGTGCGATCTTTAATGGTAGAGCCAAGGGTACACTGTAAGAAAAGGGTGTGGGTATGGGTGTGGGTGTAGGTGCGTGTACAGGTAAAGAGAAGACCCGCACCCACAACCACACCCACCCACAACCACACCCACCCACACCTTATCATGTACCAATACGTATTAATAAATGTTTAAAATGTTTGAGACACGATCATACGACAAAAAGCTGCTCTCGACCATGTTTATGCCCGAAATGTGCTGAGGAACATTCTCTTGATCATGGTTGTCCGAATCATGAAAAGTGTGTTAATTGTGGTGGTGATCATATTTCTACTCATTCAGTTTGTCCAGTTGTTCAAGAAAAACGTCGCGCTCTCGTTGAACGATCAAAGCCACAAAGAGCTGAACTTTTGGTGCTTGCAGAACGACAGCAACATCAATTTGATTATCAAGAACTTGATTTTCCAGTTATAAGGAACGATAACCCGATTCATTCATCTTTCCGGATACTATATCAGCCTACGGATGCTTTTCAGAGATGTTATGCACCAGTAATCTAAAAACAACGTGGTCAAGGTCCACAGAAGAACATTGAATGCATCTTAGCTTCATTCTTAAATCAAATAGAACGTCGATTAGATGAATTTTCCTCGTGCCTGTCATCGCAATTATGTGACATCGAAAAGAAAACTAATGCATCTTCTGATCGTCAATATGAAATAGAAAAAGTTATTAGTGAAATAATTCTTCCATCTATCCAAGAATTAGGTCACCTCTTATCACAATCGTCTAAAAGTCGAACTTCTCAAGAATCATTCAAAAAGTTTAATAAAAAAATTAATGAATTATTGTCGAATCGTCGACCTTACTTAAATCATTACGACCATCAATCAACAGTCAATCTCATCGATCAGCCAAATACAAATGCCCCTCACCATTAACTCAACCTCTCAGAAGTTCAATAAATACAAATTTATTGAATTATCAAAAGAATTATTACTTTTATTATATGACCTTTCTTCACGTCAGAAACAAATTGAACTTGATGTGTTACAAGATTGTTGCTGGACATGGAAATTGGCTGAACCTTCAAATTTTTGGCAACAACAATACTGTCAACAGAAAATATCAACAAATTGACTTTCATTACTGCATCATAATATTCGTCATTTTTATTCTAATCAAACTGATCTCGTTGAAATGGTGAATATCGATTCTCCGACTCTTATCTCTCTCAACGAACTTGGTACAGTACTTGCGGATAAAATAATCAAACAACTTCTCTTTTCTTACAACATTTAAACGAAAGAAGGTACAAATCCACATGGTGGTGTTGTACTTGCTGTGGATAAAAGATTAAAAAGTCATCTGATAGAAATTGATGAACCAAATGTTATTGCAGCTCGAATTACTATTGATGACCAACAGTTTGTCGCTGCAAGTATATATTCACCACCTAACCATCCATTACCATGAAGTAGAATGACAACCTTGCCTAATGTGTCGAAAAATATTATTATCGTAGGTGATTTAAATGCCCAACATCCAGACTGGAGTTGTTCGCAGGTGAATACTAAAGGACGTGATTTAGCTAACTGGCTTAACACACACAATTTAAATGTACTTAATGTTGATACTAAAATATCTCTGTGATCCAATACAACGATTGATCTTATTATATCCGGTGAAATACGAGAAACATCTGGTAGTCAACCCCTACTTATACAAGCAGTGATCATTTACCAATATTAACAATAATTCTTTCAGTTTAAGATTTTAGTTGACAAGCAACTTGTACCTCAAACTTATTGGAAATTGTACTCATCGATTCTTATTATCCTTCATGATCAGCTACGAGCTGAACAAGAGATTGCTTTGAATGACTGCAACAACACATACGATTAGTTTCTGAAGTTTGAACAATTTCTGACTGCCATTAAACTTCGGGTAACAATATGACAAGAAGTCAAACGAATGCGACCATCTATTTCAATATCACTCAGACTTCTTCGTCGTCATAAACATTATTTACAAAATAAATATCGACATACAAAATATGAAGAAGATCGACTAAGATTAAGGTCATGGAATGCACCAATTAAACAAGAATTTCAAGCGTATAGACAACGAAGCTGGAAAAAATTTATATCAAATGTTGCTTCACCAAATCCAACGAAATTCTAGCGAATGGTGAAAAAGCTGAACAAGAAGAAATCAATTGATTATTCAGCCTTAACAGATGATAACACAGTACATCGATCTCCGGAAGCAATTGTCAGGTGCCTAGAGCAACATTTTACTGAACGTCATTCACAACCTGTTTTAAATATGATGAATATGCTTGATAAAGAAGCAACCGACTTATGGGAATCATATAGTTTAGCTGACGAAGAAGATATTAAATTAATATCTAGTTATTCTGATCTTCAATTTACCGAACAAGATATAAAAGATACCATTCGATCATTAAAGGGGAAAAGCTGGTCTGGTTTTGATCAAATGTCTAATAAAATGATCAAGTTGCTTCCTGCCCATTTCCATGGTGTTAACGTCATTGATAGTACATACTGACGCTAAACGAAGATTAAGACGGTCCTTCTAGTCTAAATGGCTTAAGACATCTATCCGGATAGCAGAAGGTGTGGGTTCGAGTCCCGCAAAGGTCATCTTTTTCTTCGTTCTGTTGCATAACATCAGTGACACTGCTTGTCCAGTCGTTCTATACATATTAGAGCTAACATTGATCTAATCAATGCCAAAACTGCATGTGCAAATTATTACACTTTACAACCATTTATAAATATTGCTAGACAAGTAGTTGGGCCTATATTCCTGTGTGTACAAAAGCCTAACAGAAAGATCGGCGACTGTACGCATTTTTCTTCTCTTTTATTCTTATTTCTCAATATTTAGCTTTCTATCAGCCTTAAAAAAGCAGATTTTCGAAGCGCACAATGCTGTTCTTTTCTGTTCGTATTCAGGAAAATTGTCTTCCACATATATACATACATTATGGGTTCAAACATGCTCTTTTGCCTAATGCTCTCAACAAGTTTATATTGTTGTCCGATTTATGGGGTGACCGAAATCATGATTCCATGTATAAAAAGTATCCGAGCTTTTTTAGCGTGCAGATTTGGAATAATACTACAGACAAAATTTAACCACTAAATCTTTTTTTCAATCAACAAATAAAAATTCTATTTCAGTACGCCTATGACCGTACCAATCTTGATCAATTACTGATTTCAATGAGCGAAAGAAACAACATCACCAAACTAATATCTCTTTCCCTATTTTTAAATGAGTGTCCACATTTTTCATGAATTTCTTGAATCTGCATGGTATGCTGATGGTTATACAACGATAGATTCTGGATCTTTTTTGATTGTCAAAGATGCTTGTTTCATGCTGTTTCTTCTTACTGTCAAATCTCTAATTGCACTTGTCTTCCTTTCATCTCGTGCTTTTGAGTCAATATGATTCAACCTTGTGCATGAAATGATTATCTCATGTTAAAGATTTCAAATCTTAATTGTTCAGAGTAAAGAAAAAAACGAGGAAAAATGAAAAATCATATTTTGTTACATATTTGCAGTAACCAGATCTTTGCCCAGATACGTCACGGGCTCGGACTCTATTAGGGTTTTATTAGTCTCACTGAGTTCTACTCATAACCAAAATATGCGTTCAAACGGCATCCGATTGTTGAAGATGCTCCCTCATAACATCTAACAAGCCGATTAACTTCATAAATGTTTTTTTCTGCTAATCGTTGGTTATTTGTTACAAGAGATGAATCTTCATTGTATTTTGTGAATGGAAATCGATTTTCTTCGCTATGACAAAGCTGAGAAATGCGTCATCATTGCAAATTATTGTTGTGAAAAAGTTCTGTTATTGCGCACGAGCACAATCGATCATAATCTTGTTGTCTCGAAATGATGAATAAAATCAATATGAGAATATCGTGTATCGTTTACATGTGGTATTATTCTATTCATCGCAATAGAAAGAAAAGTAAATTGTTGATTCTTAATCACAATCATTATTATGTGTCCACATTGAATTTATGGCATGTTGAATATAGGCTTTAGTGAAAGAATCGGATATCATTAGTTATAGCTTGTGTTTTTATTTGTTCTCAATAAGCCAAAAACAATAATCATTTTTAAGAAGATCTAGATGTTAAAATAGGGTTTGTTGCTGGTACAATAAGTGAACCATTGACTCTATATGTTTTGGTTTTAACAGGATCGAATTGCTTTTTCTTAATACGATATACCTTGTATGCGACAACAATATGCTATACGAACACTATAAAATGAGAAGAAAATTAAAATACCATTTTCAAAGCAATACAACGAAATCGATGGAAGAAGACACGGTTGCATATTTTGAAAGACTGACCATCCACGTAATATCGGTATTATTTATTTCAAGCTCTTTTGAATTGAATATACTCTTAACTCTTTCACCCAATATTTTCAGATTTTGAAATAGGCTGGCTGATAAAGAATAAAATTCCACATAGTTTTGAGATTAAAGAATAATTCTTGTATCGAAACATTTCTATTTTCTAGGTGATAGTGTCGATATCACCTTTATTTTTATGCTCTTGCTTTTTATCTAAAAAAGTCAGAGCAGCAATTAAGAGCATGTCATTTAATGTAAAGTAGAAAGCACGGTAAGATCAATCGCGAGCTTGTCACGAAAATCTAGTCAGTCGATTATTGGGTAAGTAAAAACATCACGAGAATAAGAAAATATTTGTCTCTAAGAAGTTCTTATTTATACTCTTTTGTGAAACACGATCAAAAATAACTACTGAAGTATATAATAATAAATGAATCACCCTTCCCTCTCGAACTATGATATTTCATAGACTCACAAGAAATTCAGATTGTTCCAGTCTAGAAATCTCTTCCTGCTATTATCCATCTTAACTTCTTTAATCACTTTAGTTTCTCTGATCACTTTGGTCTCTAGTTATTTTGATCCTTCTAATTTCTTCAGTCCCTGTAGACCCTTTAGTTCTTTTAATTCATTCAGTTCCATCACTACTTTTAGTCATTTTATCCTTCCAGTTTCTGCTGGATTCCTTTCAGATATTTTTCAAACTTCAATGTATCATAGGAAAGTATTTATCGTAATGTGAACGAGTATGATCCCATAAAGACTACATCTTAAAAAGTATACGTAGATGACATCTAACACAAATTAGCCACAGCCGATAACAACAGAGAACAAGTCAAAAATGACTTTAAAAAATACGTAGGTGAAGTTATCACCAGATTCGAGTATTTTCAGTCCGGATTCGTCCAGCAACTTCTTCCAAATCTCCTATTGTTGTTCCAAGTAGAACTTGACGAGTTCTACCAAATGGCATGCTCAGATTTCCCACAACTCAAACCAGTGATGTACAAAATCGATTTTTCCAGTTATTCCCCATGGAGCCCAGGGATCCAGAAAAGTATTTCCAGCCCGGATTCGCTCAGGAACTTGTTTCAAATCTCCCATTCGTGTTCCAAGTACAACTCGACGAGCTCTACTCAATGGCATGCTCAGATTTCCCACCACCCAAACTATAATTTTCAGGTTTTGTAGAGTGTCATCTATGGTCCCAAAAATCATACTTTGGGCTGTGGCAAATGTGAATACACCGTTGGATAGAGCTCGTCGAGTTCTATTTGGAACACGAATAGGAGATTTGGAACAAGTTCCTGAAAGAATCTGGGTTGAAAATACTTTGTAGGATCCTGGGATCTCATATAGAAAAAACTGGAAAATCGATTTTGTGAGTGACTGGTTTCAGGCATTAAAAATTTGATTACACCAATCGGTAGAGCTCGTCAAGTTCTACTTGTAACAAGAATAGGAACGTTGAAACAAGTTGCTGAGCGAATCCGGATTGGAAATAATTGAATCTGGTGTTAACTTCACCTGCGTTTAAAAACTGTATTTTTTTTCGACTGATTTAGCATTGTCTGAAATTTAACGAATGAAATGAGAACACAGAGTAAAATTTTGATTCTTCCCTGGAAAAGTTGCATAGCACACCCAAAAGAGATGTAGGGGACAGAAGGGATCAAAGAGATTAAAGGGATTGAACGGATTAAGATGATCAAGGCATTTAAACGGACTAAAGGGACTAAAGGGACTAAAAAGACTAAAGAGATTAAAGGAATTAAAATGGCCAAAGGGATTAAGACAAGACTATAGCTTGAAGACATATCTACAGAGGGATAACTTTAATTTCTTATGTACTCCTCTTTCAGATCTTATAAATCGGTGTACCTTCTCATTTTCTTCGCGTTAGTCACACATCTTTTTCGATATGAGTTCGAACACTTCATGCGGCAAATAAAGTCGGCGAGGTATTGGATTCTTTATACACTAGTAGTGAACATGAAGTGGGTTGGAATCTTCGTCAACCAGACTTTTTTTCACCATAGTTTGAATTTTCTCATCGATATAGAAAATTACACTTTCGTGTAAAATTATAGTGCAAAATTGTTCGCGTGATAGTTTAAATTCATATTGACAATTGTGTGTAACTAATATGCTAGAAATGAGAAAATACAATCATGTATACGACCTACAAGGCTGAAACGTAGCACATAATCATCAATATGTCTATAGAAGAAAAGAGAATACTTTCTTTCAAATCATGAGTTTTAAAAGAGTTGAACAAAGAACTTTTGTCGTACCTCAAGTATATATTTAAATAATTATTTATTTGAATCTGTTTTATCCTGACAATTATTAGTTTTAACACATATTTTATAATATCAATTCCGTGGACTAAAATCTCAAAAAAATAGCGTGGATAGACTAGTCATCATCTTCGATGTTCCGATCGGATTTTCGCCACATTTTGAATATGCTTTGTTACAATGTAGCAGCGCGATAGAAATATCAAATTACTACTTTGCTGACGCACACTGACATTGGTCATAATTATATAAGGGGAAGGCCCTAATGTAGAATTAGATCTATTTCATCGTATTTCACATATTAGCTCTATATGGATTGCGCAAAAAGCTTTTTCATATAAGTAAGTAATCAAGAAAGTAATGTTTCTACTCATGTTAATAAGTGGTCGTCATTTTTTTCAAATTCTTCTTATACACTTCAATAATGGCTTAAGAGATAGCTTCTTTCTCGGCTAACAAAAAAGAATAGGTCTTAACAAGATTAATAGATTATTACGAACCACAAAAGTATGTTCAAGAGCTGAATTGGAATCTTTTTTTTCGTTTTGGGAACAGATCTATGGGTTAAGAAGGTAGAGTATAGTGAAAGACTCAACTCACGTTTTTTCATCTAAAGAAAACGGTTTCATGTCTATATAGAACTTGATCATGATAGTCAGTAAATAAAAAAAACACATTTACTCATCTTTCTTCACTATAAATTGCCGAATACTTTTATAAACAATTTGTGACAGTGTAGATGAAAATAACTCATGTTAACACTTTAAGTAGTTGGTTATATTGAGAAAGCGTCAAAAAGAAATACATAATTCTTAAAGACTAAAATTAACAAAAGCCACTCCGTTTTCCAATAATGTTTTTGTATTCTTCATGTAACCATGATCGTTGTGAATAGAAATGTTCATGCTCTCTTGTTTTTGTGATTTCTTTCTTTGAACAACATGAGTCAATTTCAACCATGGATAGTAACGAGAATAAAACTTTGCACCTCTTGAGACAAAGTCTTCATTCATGGATAGACGATCTTTTGCTGCTGACACGTGATGATTTACTTTTGAGACTCAGCCTCAGTTCGCCACAATGACGATTGCGCCACTAATCATGGATCATGACCCTTCGAAAAAATTGACTATTTTGATACGAGCTATCATTAATAACAAAAGAACATTTGTCGTAAATTAGGTCTCTAAGTAATAGCTGACAGCATGAAAGTTCCTATTACACAAATAGATACATACTAAAGTGTTTTTCTTCGAATATGGCCGATAAGAAATCATATAAACAATGTCGCTTTTTGATTCATAAAAATCCATTAAATTTTATCTATCATTTTCAGACTTTGTAAAACGTTATCACGTGTACACGTGACTCATATACATAATGATCATTAAATTCTTTGTGTTCGGGATTAGCCTTGTTTTGGTAGCTCAGATCAATGGATTTCCACAATCAGAAGTAAGTTTTGATTTTAGATGATCATCTCTCGAAGTAAATACGATGTTGCTATTTTTTTCCAAGGATACACAACCAAAACTAAGCAGACCTGAAGAGAACCGTAAGTTACAAAAGAATATGTCGTTCGAATATTATTTCCATGTGAAGTTCTCTGTTTTACAGTCAACTGAATCACTTAATGCAACCATAAATAGAGAGCCAGAAATCAATGAAAACTGATCAGTCTAATGTTACAATTTACTTATTCAATAAAACACTTAATTGGGAAGGGAAATTATTGAAAAACTCAGAGAGATTCTGGTCTTTGTCATACTTATTTAATAAGTTAGAGGATTCATCATGACATGTTTGAAATTGATTTACTGATCCTAATCATACTTCGATGAAACACATTTACTTGATGGAAATATTGCAAAGATATTTAGTCGTGATAGATAGGTATCATCGAGACTATAACAACTCTACAATGTCATGAACTATTTAACTTTCATTCTAATGGTCATCATTTTATCATACTTTCGACCTATGGCAAAGAGTTGAGAAGAAATTCAAATGGAAAAGTTCTCAGAACAATCCCTTTGGGATTGAAATATGAAAAATGATGGAGCCACCTTTTTAGCATGACAAGACATTGTATATATTGGTCACGGCTCCAGACAGGATATAAGAGACAGTATGTCGGAATTTCGGGCACGCTTTATGGCAAAGTTCAAAACCCTTGATTTAAGGAAGAAAGAAAGTTTTTACTTCAGGATTACAAATGTATTCATTTTTCAAAAATCTATTTGAAATCCAATACACGAACATAGAGAGATTCACAAGCATTTAAACCACCATGAAAACATTACTATTACGATCTGCGAGACAAACAGAACAGGCTACTAAACTCCCTGATACTTGATGATTGAGTTATACCAGACGATTCAAACAGTGCGAGACTTGCAGTTTCGCGTGCATGTCTCTTTTAACGGTAACCTCTACTGAATGGAGCCTCATTTATCATTAATACATTTAAGTTTTTTCGCATCGAATAGTGAAATATCAGGTGAAATTCCCTATAATGCCCTAAATCACCAAAATACTCGTTACGTTAGTCAAAATAACAAAGTGATGAACTCAGAAATATAAATTGCTGCGATAGAATTCTTATGTACTCAAGTGAAAAAGTGAATACCATAGGTTAATCGCAATCAATGAGATAGCGAAACGATTACTTTATCAAGAACTTCTGATTTTCAGTAACTCTGAATAATGTATACCTAGATAATGCTAAATAATATTTATTTTGATAATGATTGCTTTCAGCAAGGTCCGAAAAGTAAGTATACCCCACTGTATTTACAATAAGACTTCGAACTGATAAGATATGATTGCACTGAAACTTGACCATAATATTGAACCAATATTATTCACACACTACAGGAAAATCTACAGACCTACCTCTACTGATTTATTAAAGCTAGAGTAGTTTTACTATACAAGTCGAATTTATTCTAAAGTTTTTTTGCACCCTTTTGAAAAACACGAGTAGAAGTGCGCATTAAAGTACGTAGAGAGGAAAGTGGATACTCATCTTGGTTCAAAGACTGTGATAGACATACCCATATGTTGGTTCTTTGTAACAGATGAGAGCTGGCTTTCGACCACATGCGAGAGCATGCAAGAGACTTCGACACGCTACTTCGAATTTGTGTAACTCAGTCATGTAGATTTCATTTATTGTGATTTTTCTAGTCTAAAAACTCAGAAAATATTCCTTTGTTCTTCTTTGGTATATGGTCTTTTGAGCTCTATCACAGCCCATAGGAAACTTGGTAGTATGCTATTTTCGAATTTTGAATCTCGATTTTTTCTATTTTAAATGGATTTTTGAAACATTGATCGTTTTAAAATTTAGATATCGAAAAATCCGAGTCTTCTCCTTTGAAATATCATTTTACGACCTGTGTATCAGACTGTGTCAGATATTTCGAGATACTGTTTCATTAAACTTGTCGCGAACTGTTATCACTATAGAGATCGTCTTCTTTTAAAAATTATAGAATCGTTCTAATGTGGTCCACGTTTGAATTATGTAGGAGTGCACTGACAAGTTTTTATTCTCTGTTTTATCAAGATTAAAACTCCGCTGAACTCTGCCATTCAGGGAAAATAATAGATAAAGAAATTAACTACTCCGAGAGGGCAGCACCTGATAATATAGAGGGAGAAGATATGAAAAAATGGCGTTTTTTATATGTTGCCTAAAGGTATTAATATAGATTTTCGGCAAAAACGATGACATTTGGGTGAGAGCGGTGTTTAAAGTATCAAAATCTGGTAGTGCCCTCTACAAACAGCCTCAAAGATTTTCTCCTCTCTCAACTTTTAGCTGATTTTAGAAAAAAGGACCAACAAGTATCTAGTGTCAACCCAACAAAAAACAGCCCAATCTTTTATGGCAAACAATAGTCTGAAAGATGAAAATACACTGAAATCATTGCTCATGCATAGAAAAAACGGGTGTAGTCCCGACACTCCATAGAAATCGAAAAAGAATCCTTTTTTTCCTATATGAAATTAACATGCCGTCTTTATGTCTACCAAATTAATGGTCAAATTCATCAATTATTTTTTAAGGAAGAACTTAGTTGTGGTTATAGTTATTGAAATTCTACCTTAGAGCTGCTACTGTAACTCACTAACTATATGAATAGAAAAATATAACTGGTGAACATACATCAAAGTTTTGAAGAAGATACCATGTCCCAAATGAAGATCATTCACAGTCAGTTAGACGTATTAAATTTTTTTACTTACATCCTAAAGTTAAATCACATGTTTTTGCCACTATAAGATGAACAGATGAAAACAGTTGTGAGAAAATCAATCAACCAAAAATGAATATTATTGAATAGAATTAGAAGAAATGACTCACTCGAAATTCGTTACAGTGGATGTCAAAATCAGATTTAGATTAGAAGATAATCATTTTCAAGAGATCATATTTATAGCAAATGATTGTGCAATTAAAACAATCTATCTGTTGAGTTCTTTCAGATAATGAGACACATATTCTACTTTTGTTGTACTGTCAACACATAGTTTATCTATGAAATAAGTGAATCTATTCATCCTAAAAATAGCATTGATCGATGTCTTACCTTTCGACCGATAGTGTAATTGTGACGAAAAAACTGGGATTCTTTGTATCATCATTAGAAAACGATTGCAAAAAATGAGTAGATCATTTATCATCGATGCAAAATTAGACTAGAGATGTCTGTTTTGTGAATAAAATATCTTTCTAATTACATCATAACGAGTTGTCTTGCCTATTTTAGCCGATTTGTTCGAAGGTGACATTCTATTTCCGCCTTCAATGGATCCGATAGGCGTAAGTGAACCGTGAATTTTTGCCACCTTGATTGCATTCATCTATTTCTGTTCTTACCGAAATTTAGCGTGGAATAGCACGTCGTGGACCTGGAGTACCTTGGACGAATGGTATTGTACCATATGAAATCTCATCAGTATTTAGTAAGTATCTGTTTGCTAATAGAAATCCTTACAGACTCATTATCACGCCATTTATTGATTTATTAATTAATCTGTTAGCCAAAAGGTAGTGAATCTTCTCTTGACTATAATAGATTCGACACAACAAGAATTTATTATTGCTTCGATGGAAAAACTCGAACGCTTGATAGCGATCAATAATGTACAATGTATTCGTTTTCGACCGAAAGTTTCTTCTGATTTATATTATATTCCGATTGTTAACGGATCGGGTTGTTCATCTTATGTGAGTAAATTGATCATTCATATAACTTAGAACATGTATATATATGCTCGACAAAACTTTTCTTTCATGTCATCTTAGGTTGGACAAAATACCGGTATTAATATGACTCGTACAGTGACACTACAATATCCAGGGTGCTTTGTTAGAGCCATCATAATGCATGAACTATTGCATACACTAGGTAATTGTGTGTAAAACTAAAATTCATGCTCTGTTTCAAATCAATATCTAAGAAGAATTAGAAACAAAGAGTTAAGGTATTTCATCATATACGAGATGAAATTTTAGGCAAGATCAGTTCTAATAATGAGATAAAGTTTATTAGTACCTATACATAATTTGATTCGATTTAACGTATCAATTACATTTGATCCTTGTAATCCTAGTATTTAATTTTTTTCGAGTGATGTTTTGACTAACTTTCGCAATTACTTGTATAGATGCTTAAAACAGAAGACGCTAAACTGCGTTGTACTTTCTAGACGATATTTTTATGTCGTTTTCCGATTGTCCACTACTGTATCACGAATCATACAAAGATATTTTGTTAAACCCGAATCTTCATGAATGTTAATGAGTTGTATAGTGGAAAAGTTGGATCAACCTTGACATATAAAAGAGGCTTGAACAGATATTTGACCATATGACAACAAAAAGCGTGGCTTACGAAATTGTTTTTTAGTGAGTTGAAATAGGCTCTCGATATTGATCGAATAGCGAAACAGAAAGAAAGGAGAAGCATTTGTACTTTTCTGTCTCAATCTGTAGGGTAGCTGGGGCTTTCACATTTTTCATTTTACAATTTGCTCTTCATCCACAACTGTGCTTAATGAAAAGATCTATCTACTCATTGCGAGTCGTACATAAACCATGACTATTAAATATTAGAATCCATGGTATTTCCATATGAAGCCTTCTCACTAAAATTGAGTGAATTCATAAGAACGAATGCTTTGAAAAATGATCAGCATTCACTGGCTCCATGTTCTTTGAAAATTTCACTCCCATTGTTTCATCATGGGTTAGCATGATAAATGTCGGTTGTGAAAGAACATATGAAAGAAGAAGAAAAAATCAATGGAAGAGTAATCGGGAATATCATTCAGCTGCTTTTTAAAGTCTTTTTAGCTGACAGCTGAAGGAGAACCTCAAAAATGTTCAATCCAAATATGTCTTGAGTATTAAACCAAACGTAGTACTTGGTTCATTATACCAACACGATACCTTCGAAAGAAAAAGGTTAATTGAATGGTAAAATTGTGAAATATGATTGACAAAAAAGGGAATGCTTCGAAGACTACCTCCCAAGACAGTAACAGATCTCACGACACACTGCTCGGTTAATCATGGCGTGGATTATGATTGACATGAGAGAGAGAGCATATACGTGTAACTTGAAACTTGAGCTCCATTTAAGAAAAACTGAAACTTGAAGATTTGAACTTCTAGTTCTAAGTTTCGACTTTCAAATAAATATATTTACCCTCTCGACGCGGCTGCTGCAGAAACAAAAATGATTGAAATTGTAAGCCTGAATAGTTGCTGTTCAATTTTATTTAACTTTCGAGTTTAATACAACTGGTGCAGAAGGGCGATTTCCATGCACAATGAAAGCGGCTTTATCAAGTGTCATATTTTATTCCAGTAGAGATTCTACTGACAACTTTTCCATTAGAAACTGGTAATCTATAGAAATAGAGTTTTTTTCTTTAGTGCTCAAGAAAAATTGGGCGGGGGAGACTATTTTACCTTCTTTTGTTACAGATTATTGCTAAAAAGCAGCAAATGACGTGAATATAGCGCTTGCTTGACCTTGAGAGTTTTTTTCTTGAATTTCCGTATATTGAGCACATCAATACTTTTTAAAAACAGAAAGAACACCCGCCATCCCCCCCCCCCCCCCCCCCCCCCACCACAAAACAGAACAAACAAAGAAACCCCCACCACCACACATTCTGCCGAAGGATAAACAGTGAGGTGGTAGGGATACGGGGCGGGGGTGCATTGGTAAACAGNCCCCCCCCCCCCCCAACAAGTATCAATATGTAAGAAAAGACTTTCAACCCGATCGATGAATATCTTCTGGGTAAAATACAAGTCATAGGTGATATTTTAAGGGAGAAATTCTTTTTAGTACGAAAATCAATACAGCATCAAACTACTCGTTATGGCAAATAAGAGGTCAGGTTTTTTGTGAATAACATATGTTCACATGTTATTGAGTATGGTGAGTTGGATAACGTCGAATTCTAGTACATAGCTTTTGTTTGTCAGGTTTGCGTGATTCTTTCATGAGGTAGTGGGAATTCGTTTTTGTGGTTGTCTGATTGCATTCGTTTCTTCCAGTCCTATCGATGCTGCGCTAGTGGCCGCTAGAAGTTAATCGAAGTAATACTTTATGGTTGAATCTAGTAGTTGCTACGACTCAAGCACCATTTTATGAATTGCTGTAAAGATAAGTTGTTTTCTTCTGGAATCTAAGTCCATCGAAATCAATATAGTTGCTTACATAGAGAAAAGACATTTATTCCAGCAATTTGAATCAATAACATTCACTATACAGTAGCGGATTTATCGAGGAAAAGGGCAGGCTGAATCCCGTCACAGGGTCTTAAACTATTGTAACTGGGGAGTCCAGTTCTTTTCAGGTCCGAAGCAAATCCATTCTGAGTTTCTCCAACACTCAGATTGGATCTTAACGTCGGGAAAATTTCTGGCTGCCCTGCTAACATGTGGGAAAATTAAGAGCAACAGACCTTTTCTCAGCTATGGACCCTTCCAAATAGAGGTCGCATTATATAAAAATTTTCTAGTCCGAATCAAACTAGCTAAGTCTGATCCGGGTTTTAACTCTATATTCGTTACCCTTACTTACAACTGAATTTACACGTGAAAAGGACTCTTATATAAGTGATCACGCCTCGATTTGAAAATTATTTTGCAGAATTATGTCGATTTTGACTTTGTTCAATTCGATTTCCCTGTTGATAAATCAGTTCGAATTCTCTTCAGTTTGATGAAAGGTTGAAAAGTTATTATTAGACATTGAAAAGAAAACGATGAAAATTCAATTTTGGGGGCTGGAAAAAATAGAAAGCACTCTGAAACAGCCTTGTAATTAGTTGAGTGTTTTCCAACTGAGCCGAACCAATCGACTGAAGTTATTGGTTTAGCCGGCATAAGCTCAGAGAAAAATTGGTACGTTTAAATATATCAATTGACCAATTAGGTGTTTTGAAAAAACATTTATTAGTACAGCTCCACGAAGACATAGAATGTAAAACTCATGTAACTATTGAAGTTTCCAATAGTAAAAACCTCGATTTGAGTTTGTCACGTTTCATATGTGCTAACGCTAAGAACAAAGAAATAACTCATTCAAAACGCTTATCTACTAACTCAAAACAACTGATATTGAACCACATCTATAATAATTTTTGTCTAGTTTTTCTTCAAAAGAAATATAATTTTTTCACAAGAACTTTTGAGTTGAATAATTTTTTCTTACTTAAAATCACGAATTAGCACAAATGTAGATTTCTTAACTTGTAAGTGGCTACTACTGGTGTAAGAAACATAAAATAAGCTACAGAGTTTGATTTTGATACTAGGCTTCATATTTTTAAGTTTATTAATACTTAGATATTGTCACAGTTATATGAGGTAGCAGTTGGCAAAACATCAACTACACAACGAAATCGTTTCTCGGTTTATGCAATAAAAACATGAACTGAAACAATTAGTCGTTGAGTTTCTGACAGTGGATTACAAAAAGGCGAGAAAAGTAGATTCCAAATTTCCAAGTAGAAAATCTTTATTTTATAGCAAATATAACGAGGGAAGGCCATCAACTGTCCAATCGCTTTTGCATTGGAACTATTTGCGTTATGTAGTTCCCAAAGAGTTATGAATACTCTGAAAATATTTTGGGTGGATAGCTTGTTGTTACGAAAATAGTCCATTTGTAAGATAGGTTTTTGATGATTGCCGTGGTCCCCCTCAGGAACATTAGAAAAATTGATTTTCGAATTTCGACTTGAAACTTTACATAGAAATACTTCTCAACGAAAATAGTGCTTTCTGAAAGTTTTAGGTCTGTTGGTTGTTTGTTTCACCCAATCTACTACTTTATTTGAAGGATATAAAACACAAATTTCACAATAGCAGTGTCTAGCGACAGGAACAATAGAAAGATCTGAAACGTTCACAAAAAGTTGTTCTCATTGGGGCGTCTTTCTATGTTAAGTTTCAAGTCGAAATTCGAAAATCAGTTCTTTTAATATTCCTGAGGGGGACTCCAGCCACTCAACAAAACTCATACCTTACCAATGGACTATTTTTGTTACAATAAGCTGTGCGCCCAAAATATTTTCAGCGTATCATAACTCTTTGGGAACTACATAATGCAAATAGTTTCAATGCAAAAGCGATTGAACAGTTAGTGACCTTCCTTCGTGAGTTCTAATGGCAAAATAAATTTTTTCGACTATAATCAATTCATTTAGCATAAACTGAGACTCCTCTTGTACTATGAGAAAGCGTGAGTTTCAACTTTAGAACGGTGATTTTGATAATGAGTAGAAACTTCTTAGTTGGGAGATTGCGCACTCATATTACTGGACCAGTAAAAGTGAAAATCGATAAAAAAAGAGCAGAATGGACTAGCTTCAGTGTCGTAAAATTGATCAACAACCAGCAAAAAAACTGGTAAAAACTAGCCGATTTCAATAGTTCATCGAGATCGAATCGATATCCAGCAATGCGACTTATCTACTCCAAAGCTTGCTCTAAAATCTTTAGTTTGAATGATTACAATGTGTCTTTGTCTCTGTTTCTAACTAGGCTTCTTTCATGAACAGTCACGACCGGATCGCGATGATTATATTACAGTCAATTATGAAAATATAATACCAGGTAATAAAATCAATATTTTTATGATATTATTGCCACTGGAATATCATAAAACTAATCACTTTTTATTGTCTTCTTTAAGGCAGACAACACAACTTTGAAAAATTTAATACCACCATAGTAGATATGTTAAACACATCCTATGATTATGCATCAGTAATGCACTATCCACCTAATGCATTTTCTGTGAATAATCGTCCAACAATCGAGCCACTTCAACCAAATGTTACAATTGGTCAACGTTTCAATTTAAGTTCAATCGATATACAAGAAGTTCGAATTTTGTACAACTGCTCTGCTACTGGAGTTACATTGCCACAAATTACGATAACCACAACAAGTAATTAATTAGTTAATTCCATTCATCTATTTTTGAAGAGCAAGTCAAAGTTGAGTACATATCGAAGAGAAACTATAAATGCATACTAAGCACAGCGTTGAGACAAAAGTTGGCTTCAGGTATGAAGTATTGACCTCAAAAGATTTTGTGCCGATGGCTAATTGAATAATGTAAATGAATTGAAACAAATTCTAAAAACGAATTGATTATATTAGTCATCAATATTAAAATAGTGCGATCGTATGTACAAATTGCCTCCTTTCACAACACATAGAAACTTGTTTTATAGTTAATTAGATTCTATTTCTTTTGGACTCATTCTGATCTTCAAAAATGACACAGTCGATTAGCTTAACATTTTACGATAAATAACCGATTGTAAAACTAAACGGCTAGTGCTTGACCAGAACAACGATATAATGCAGCTTTTTGAGAAAGTTCTCCATTTTCATGTCTTCTCTGGGCGGCCAACTGGAAAGATTTCACGAATGCAGAACGATAAATTCTCTAATATACTTTATATAGCATGTCTTAAGATCTTTCCAAAAAAAGCTGATCAAGGCTATAAACAGCATTTGAGCGAAAAAAAATGCTTTAACAATTATTCTTCTCTCCTATTTGAAGAGACTTCTATGCTTTATTATTTGATTGACACAGTTTCAAACTGGAAACTATTTTATCTCACTAATTGTATATTTTGTGTCGGAAGGACAGTATTACAATTAAACAATGCTTGCAATACGTCCTAAAGACTTACCCAAAGAACTTAGCGGTGCCTGACAGAAACAAACTATTTCGTAGATTACAAGCCCTTTTTCTTTTTCAAATAGCCATGCCGGAAGTGATCAATACGACTGCCTCATCGTCGTTGACTTCGAACCATTCAACATATGCTCGTCCGGGTGCTTCAGTCTCAGAATACTATTATGATACATTCGAGCTCACAGTATCGATGGCTGATTCTTACTCCATCGGTACCAATAGTTTTATAGATACCTTTGGCTCATTATATAATGGCAGTTTCATTTCAACTTCTCCAAGTTTCAATTTACTGACTTTCAACGACGATTTTAATGGGAGTGCACAGTTTCACTTCAAGGTGTATCTCGAGCCTCGTATTCGATACTTTTTGGTTGTTACAACATATTCTTCAAACACCACTGGATCGTACCAAGTAATAGTATCTGGTCCAATGCAAGTTAGGCTTGTTCGGATAACAGTCACAACAACGCCGCAAACAACTTTGACAACGACAGATACTTACACGGCTCAATCAACAAGTAAGTAAACACATACAACAGTAGAATGAAGATTTCTTCCTGATTTTCTTCTTTTTGTTTTGTCTACTTGAATTACTAGTTAAAAAATGCTGTTGCAAAAAGCTATGAACACTATTTATCATCGTGGGAAAAGTCGTATAATAGAATTTTTTTCCAGCTTCTAGAAGAAAACCCTAATTCATCGAAATTAATGTATGGTAGGGTTTATGAGTAATCGAAATTTCTTACACTAGTATAGTGATCGAGAACTTATCTTCGTGGACACTATTGTCAATGTCGAAACCAGAAGAAATATATTTGTTTAGTCATATTCACAAAGAAAAATATCAGCTTACTGAAAATCAAACGTATAACCAGGATTTCCCATGGTTACATTGTCTCTAGATTGTACTATAGAGAAAGAATTCAACGATAAAGGTGATATTTTTTCATGTAGATTTCCATAAAAGTAGTATCGAATCGATTAAACACAAGAACCACGGTGTGTCGATTTATATTCAGACTTCTTTGTTTTCAAAAGTTGTATGCCAAGTCAGATCGAAATAGTCTTATGAGAAAGTCTTCTTCTGTTTCATGCAAAGGATACATCATTGCAGATTCTGTACAGTATTTCAATCTAAACGAACTTTAAGGCACAGGTTCGAATTAAAGTATTTACCTCCCTTTTAGTGAATATTTACGAATGATTTAGCCTATGAATGTGTCTGAATTGAATATGTTGGAATGTGATGCTACAAATAATTCAGGACAAACATCGGACATTGCCGCAAATTGTTCTTCACGTAGAATTACGCAAGAGCTGAGAGTCGGTTTGCATAGTATTTTAAAGGTGTGTGAAGTCATTCTGAAGTGTCATTGTGAACTAGGACGGAGCTGCGCCAATAAAAAGTTGATCCACACTATGGAGAACTAAACTGATTGCCTGGATTTTTCCATCAGTATCTTGTGAAAGGGTAAAAATTTCGAAAAATAGTACTAAGTGCTGAAGGAAAGTTTATCAGCTCAAATTTCTTCTGCTGTTTTTACCTTACGTGGGTCCTATCTATTGTGAAACTATGACTTCAAAAGCTGCTTACTAGTGGAAATGGTTGCCTGGTGGATAAAATAGTGCGAAAAAGAAATAATTAGAAGAGCTAAAAGTTCCACAAATAATGAAAGCTAAAATATGTAGAGTATTACTCAGCGAACTACCATAAATACAAGATAACAAAGAGTAAAGAGTTTTTTAGATGGTATCAAAATCCAGGATCTATACACAAAGAAAGTGAATAAAAACAAATGTATCTGACCATACTGGCACAGAGGACATGTATCTATTGATTCATGACTACAAAACAAGAGAAGGTACAGCTGGAATACATATTTATATGATGATGTGACAATAATGATTAAAAGAATGAGATGATAAACAAGTGATGATGCCACTTAAAAGTTTCGAATAGTTGCACAATAGTATTGATTATCATGAAATGTGGAATTGTGAAAAAAGTCACATATGTGGATTGTATCTTGGATGATAAGAATCTTTCTTTTGAGAATCTGTCAGTAACTTCAATTGACTTCAACTTTTTGTAGACACCAGAAATTAAAAGCCTGAAAAATCATACCGTTGTAAAGATTTTCGCATATGCAATCACACTCGACATACACTTTCATGGGAAAAAAAATGATATTATTCGATATTCTTGACTGAATTCCACAATAGAAAAATATTCTTCTTCATCGAAATTTTAGGCTCATTGAATTTTTTTTAATTTTTCAAATAGCCATGCCGGAAGTGATCAATACGACTGCCTCATCGTCGTTGACTTCGAACCATCCAACATATGCTCGTCCGGGTGCTTCAGTCTCAGAATACTATTATGATACATTCGAGCTCACAGTACCGATGGCTGATTCTTACTCCATCGGTACCAATGGTTTTATGGATACCTTTGGCTCATTATATAATGGTAGTTTCATTTCAACTTCTCCAGGTTTCAATTTACTGACTTTCAACGACGATTTTAATGGGAGTGTACACTTTCACTTCAAGGTGTATCTCGAGTCTCGTATTCGATACTTTTTGGTTGTTACAACATATTCTTCAAACGTCACTGGATCATACCAAGTAATAGTATCTGGTCCAAGGCAAGCTAGGCTTGTTCGGATAACAGTCACAACAACGCCGCAAACAACTTCGACAACGAGACGTGTTACTACTACTACATTAACTAGTAAGTAAACATAAACAGAAACACAATGAATATATCACCGTGATTTCTTTTCTTGTTTTATCCATCTCAATTACTACTAGAAGCAAAATATTGTTTTGAAAAGCTATGAACACTATCTATCATCATGGGAAAAGTCGTATAATGGGATTTCTTTCGAGATTCCAGAGGAAAACCCTAATTCATCAAAATTAATGTTTGGTAGGGTTGATGAGTAATCGAAATTTCTTACACTAGTATAGTGATCGAGAACTTATCTTCATCGACACTATTGTCAATATCGAAACCAGAAGAAATATATTTGTTTAGTCATATTCACGAAAAGAATCTCAGCTTACTGAAAATCGAACGTTTAACCAGGATTTTCCATGGTTACATTGTCCATAAATTGTACTATAGAGAAAGAATTCAATGATGAAGGTGATATTTTTTCACCTAGACTTCTATAGAAGTAGTATCGGATCGATTAAACGCAAGAACCACCGTGTGTCGATTTATATTCAGGTTTTTTGTTTTCAAAAGTTGTATGCCAAATCAGATTAGAATAATCTTATGAGAAATTTTTTTTCTGTTGCATGGAAAGGTTGCATCATTGCAGATTCTGTACAGCATTTCAATCTAAACAGAATTAAAGGCACAAGCTAGAACTACAACAGTTACATTGAATTGATTCGGAGTTTTTTAGCGTTTGAGTGAATAATCGTGAAAGATTTAGCCCATGAATCTCTGTCGTCTGAATATGTTGAAATGTAGTGCTAGAAATAATTGAGAACAAATATCTGGGATTGTTACAAATTGTTCTTAATGTAGAATTGAGCAGTCTCTTACAGTTAGTGTTCATAGTATTTTTGAATTTTTTTCGAGTTTCATTCGAAAAGTAGATAGTTTCAGACAAACTAAGTAACGGCTCTCAATCATTTTGTGAAACGCACTTGACAGCGAATTTTGCAGTAAATAGAGGGAAAAAGTTGCACCACCATCCGCTTGAATGCTCTACTGAGATGTGACAGACAGATAGACATAGTAATAAGAATTTTTCATTCAGGAAACTTTATTATGAAATGAATATTGAAATACATAATTATTTCAAAAGAGAGTTCATCAGCAAAAGGTTAAAACACTTTCCTGTCAAGATGTCTGTCGCTATTTGTAATGGTCGAAGAAATATTTTGGCATTGTGATTATCGAACTCGATTGTGATTGTGATAGATGTGTTTAGATTCCTTCATCATGGATACAGTGACTTCATTGTTTCACATTTCAATCCCATAAAGATTAGGTTCAAAGTTGTTTTCAAAGAACGAGACAAAAATTTTCCTAATAAATCACGTCGAATATTTCTTTCTTGGATGGTTTCGTGAAAAATTCAGGTTGTTTGATTTGAATTTGTTCGTCTTTTGATGCTGATTTTCTGCCTCAAAATCCATTCATCACACTTGTTTCACTTTTCTCATGATGATAAGTTTTTTCAGTAACCTATCAAGAGCAATTTGAGAAAAAAAACCAATTTTTTTC